CGTTTCTGCTAAATAGCGTTTCTACCACTTGGAACAAACGACTGCTAAATGGCGCAAAAATGTCTGAATAAACGAACAAGTTATTTTATTTTCTGTTTGCTTATCTGTTTCTAATGGCTGCTTCAAAGGCAAATTCGCTCATATTTTAAGGAAAAATCACGCTCCAAAAAAAGAAGTCTTTTGTTTCGTGTCGTTTCCGACCGAAAAGACACATGGTATTTGGCCAGAAAAACTGATTCGTCTGGTCTCAAAATTTTCTTTTGAAGCGAAATATCTCGAAGGCTGGTACTCGTGCAAAGTTGAATTCTCAGGTAATCTTGAATTCAGGCGTGCTGTAGTAGGAGTCTTGCGTTAGATGGATATGGACAGCTATCAACCTTCGTACGATGTTCATACAAGACTGCAATGGAAACTTGTTTTTTTCAGGGACACATGATGAATGTAGAAATTTTCAAATAGAATATGAACGTACAAATGTAGCAAAAGAATGGACATCAACGGAGACTGAAATAAGTGGCAGTAGTGAGTTAGAACAAGATGCTGTTAATTCCGGTGCTGATGACCATCAACCCTCAGTCGTAAAACTGAAACGTAGCAAAACAAGAAAGCAACAGAAAAGACAAAAAGTAGTAGACAATAAACCATCAAATGCTAGTTTTGCAAGTAATGATGCGAACATGTCATTTCTTGATCAAATTGATCGCATATTGCTGAATGAAAAAGGTTGGGATTTACAATGCTGCACCAGGACTCTTAGTTTCGTATAATCTAAAGTTTTTTCTAAATTTTATCGTTTAGATGAAACAACAGTCGCTCCTCCCAAAACAGCAACAAGAGCTGCATCATCATCTGAATGTCTTCTGTCACCATCATCCAAAATTGTTTTGGATGAATCTAATCGCGATCGAGGTACTGAGATTATGAAAGAAATCTCAGATCTGAAAATGATGATTTCAAAAGTTTACGCAATCCAAAAAAGGAGCAACAGAAAAGAAGTTTGTATAATCAAAAAGGAGAAGACTTGTTAATAATTCCAGATAATCGTCCCAGTAGTCTAAAATTCAATCAAATCTGTTTTAGGACAACAGATTACGACCCTCGGTTCTAGTATGTTTTATTAGAATGTAAATGTCCTTGAGCACCGCGCAGAATAGAAACAGTACTTCCGATTAGAGATGTTAATTTAGTGTTATTTTAAAAAATAAATATAAATGATTCATTTACTTTTATAAAATAAAGATAATTTTTTTCATTTAGTCATATTTATTTTATAAAAGTAAATGAATCATTTATATTTATCCATCATTATAAATGAACAACAAAACTAAATTAACACCCCTACTTCCGATAACAAGAGTATCCATTCTTAAGTAACAGAAAAGACGAACATTATGGTTTCAAAGTCAATGGAAAACAAATGCTTTAATATTTTGTAATTTCATTATTCATTTGCACATATCATTTCCACAATTACTTCGTGTGATATCTGCCCATTCTGCACGGAAGTTTCTGTATTATTTAGCTATTCTACTAACAATCAATGCAGTCTTTGAAGTCTAATCGTTTTTTGCATTTTATATTTGCAGATGAACAACAATATCGACAAAAATTGATATTTTTTAAGCAAGAAAAAAAAAGTAGCAAAGGAAATATATTTTTCTATTCATGGAATATTTACATTTATATTTGTGTTTATACAAGAATAAATGAAATATAAAAAAGTAAAAAAAGACTAAAACTTTTATCTACATCTTTTATTTTCTGCCGCAAAGTATGTTAGATCAGGATTAGTCTGTCAAATGAGCTTGTGAAGAATAGTATATGCTACAGAACATCTGAACACCTTCGGTAAAAAATCTATACTATGTCAAATACGAAGTGTGACACCGAAACAATGTTGGTGTAATGTAACTGGAGATTGGCCATAAAAGCAAGATTTTATCTTGAATAGATACTTTTTTTAAAATAACATCCGGCTACATTTGAGTGAAACTGATGTGTGACTATTTTGAAGAATATAGACAGTATCTATCTAAAATTATTTGTTTATTCGCCTATTTTTAGATGTCTTCTAGGACCAAATCTGCTCAAGATTACATCAGCGATGCGAAAAGCGTAAAACGGAAAAAAAACATACGTTATCGCTCAAAAAGAAATTCATTTCAGAGTACTCTTTCTCGCTCTTCTTCTTCATCATCTTGTCAAAGTGACCATGCAATTTCTCAACGCGTGGAAAATGACCCACTGTCGTTCGACGTAGTAAGTATTCATTTATGACGTGATCTTTGTCAACGTTTTTAGCAAGTGTCGGTAGCTACTTCTTCTCTTATTTACCCTGTACTAAGATGACGGTTTTTTTGTGTCATTTAGAACCAGCTAACATATTCTCTTACACCATCAATCCAGTTCAGTGACGATGAAGATAGTGGTCAACTAAGTGATATTGAAGTTATTGATGGCTATTCAACGTCGTCGTCATCCGTTGATAGTGATGAAGATGAGCAAATGTTAAATGAATTATTGTATAATGTTAAATATGATAGTGATAATCGTCCCGTTCATGAATATACTCAGTATAGTGTTAGTGAATTATCGATCGAATTACTAAACTTTTTTCGAGCATCCAGATTACCTGAAAACTTAAGAAAACAGTTACTAAAACTAGTCTCCAAATACATGCCAGTACCAAACAACATTCTGTTATCAACATCTGAAATTCTTTGTAGTGCAGGACTTCAGAAATTTTACTCAAATGATCGTTTGTGTTGCTTTTGCTTTGAAAAGGTAGTTAGCGGAAAATGTGTAAACACATCATGTAAACATAGTAACGAAAAATTATTATCAGATGAGTCTGTGAATTTTATACAATTTGATATGGAATTCCAAGTTAAAGTTTTATGTGAACAAAATATTTTATTGTTAAAACGTTATCAGTCGGGGGGCGAGGGATTTAAGTATGTCTGACAGTGCTGACATCGTCGGAGGAGATATATATCAAAATTTACTACAAACTCATGAGAGCTTTTTTTTATCCATAATGTTACATAGCGATGGTATACCGCTATATAATTCGAAAAATTGTAGTGGTTGGCCTATTCTCGGTGCAGTAGTGGAACTACCACCGTATTCAAGGACGAAAGCTGAGAATATATTTCTTCTCGGTCTTTGGATTGGTCGACAGAAGCCGAACTTTCATATTATTTTCGAAAAACTTAAACCAAATTTATTAAAATTAAAAACGTTCGGTTCAGATTTCGAAAACCGAACATATAAAAGTTCTTTTTCCGCTTCTCCTGGGTGATATGCCAGCACTATCAGAAATGGTTAATTTTGTACTCCCAAATGCTTATTTTGCTTGCATGTTTTGCACAACAAGAGGTGTTTATTCTCATGATGGACACTGCACCACGTATCCAAATGATTTGAACGCTGAAGTTCGGACTCATAAAGTTTATGATCGATACGCAAATAGTGCCATCACTCACTCACATAATCGAGATGAAACAGCCGGTATCAAAGGCGTATCTGCTTTTCGCCAAGTTCTTGATGTTCCGTTACCTGATGCGATCGAAATTGACGGCATGTACACGGTTTTTTTGTGTCATGGCAAAAAATTAATGAAACTCATTCAATCATCCATGACAAAAGAAGATATAAATCGCGTATCACAAAAACTTCGCCATCTTTTGTATATTCACGATATACAAAGACGACCACGTGGCTTCGATGCTGTCCACAAATGGAAGGCCAGTGAAGTAAGAGTATTTATTTTCTACATTGGTCTTCCATTATTGTGTACAGCAGCCCCAGAGGAAATTGTCGGGGATTTTGCTATGTACGTTGTTATACAACGTCTTTTGCATGATAATTGGGTTAAAGATCCAAACAGAGCCCGTGCTCTTTCATCATTAATTAAACTCTACATCGAAAATTTGAATGATAA